ATGAAAGATCTTGACTCAAAACTTGCTTTATTGAAAACCTCCTTAATGTACATTTATATGACAGATTCTAGTAGCTTATTAAATGTTTCTGTCATGAATTAATTACCAGGAAGATAAGGTATTCTATCTATCTGGATTGCACTGTACCATATTAAATTGTGGTCACAAAAGTAATATAGTGCATTATTGCCAAATATGTAAATAACTTTGAAAAGCTGGTTCAAAATACTAATTTTTCTTTATTCATTAGGAAATAATTCTATGATCTACAGATTTCAGTCATTTAACAAGTGTTAATTTATGCCTATGAGGAAGAAAGCATAGTATGAAGAAAAAGGTATAGAATCCAAATCTGGATTTAAAGCTTTATCACTTTCTAGCTGTGTGACGTGGACTTGTGTGATGTAGACTTGTCATTTCTGTCATTGAACCTTAATTTTCTAATCTTTCAAATGGTGAGAATAGTGCTTCTTACAAGACTATTTTGAAGTAAAGCATCTGAATCATAATAGGTGTTTAATAATTGGTGGCTGCCATTATAATTATGATTATAGGTCATGCACTATGGTAAGGGAAACAAGATGAAAATGGATGGCTTCTGATCACAAAACCCCATGAATTTCTGAGCATAATCACTTAATTCCAAGATAGGAATTAGATATGTTTATTTCAATGGCATACCTTAAAAATATACTATGCCAGCACGATATATAGCCCCCCAAAATGTTACTATAGAAAAACTGATTTGTATCAAAAGTTTATGTCCCACTCCTCTAAAGCATCCAAATCATTCTTCATGCACCACCTTGTCTTATTATTTGCTATGCACTAGAATTAAAAATTAGCAATTATTACTACTTACATTTTATAGCATTAAAAGAGGTTAATTGTATTACCAAGATCAGATGTTAACTCTAGAAGTAAGAAAATTAGTTTTCTAAGATTTTCTTACTCCTCTTTCACTATTTCAGAATAATTCACTAGAGTATTTTCTATAAAACATGACTACTTATAATGATTCAAACCTGGTTAACCAAACATGGTTAAAAACTTCATAAAGGAAAATATTATTGATTTGGGATCATCATCTTCCAAACATTGTTGATTTACAGTGCCACTTCTAATTTTGAGTTTTCCTTGACAATTCACAATTCAGTATTTTAACAAATATGCAAAATCTACCATCTATGCATCTCCTGTCTGCTTTTGTGTTTCCTCAGAATAGAATTTAATTGCTATATATATGGTCAAATTGTCATTTTAATATTAAAATTCCATTTTTTTAAATCCTGAGGTATTAAAAAAATCTCCACTGAATAGTGATGTGGCCCCTAGATTTAAGAGATAGAACATGAAAAAAAAAAATACTTCAGGGTTCTCAGAAGATCCTAGAGTCATCTCCAAGTCATTTCCTTGGAAATATGAGCTACTTAATGGCCATTTGGCTTGGCACAAACAAAAGTCTGTCCTGTGTCACAGATGTGAATTAATGGTCTTCCCGGAGTCATATTGCAAATTCACATGACTGACTAGACTGGCCCAAAAAAGAATATGGATAGTACTCTACAAAGCAGTTTTGTTACTGGAGAGAACAAATGCTCCAAATAATGTCTTTTATTGATGGTGTGGTTGCTACAATTGTTATATTCAATGAATAGCATATATTTTTTAAATGAAGAATTTTCTGAAAATTATGAAATAAATTATGTGAAAGAAGAAAATGTAAGAAGAATCCAGAAATAATTCAGTTGGTAATTCATCAATAGTTGGTTACTCTTTGTGTACTGTTAATTTGGATATGGAATGAAGTTATAATATCATAGAATGTGTGATCCATCCTTATGTTAAGGCCACAGTCATCTGAAGATAAAATTATAGTATAAATTGGTATAATTTTGATATATCAATTATAAATTTATCAATTAATCAAGTTAAAATGTAACTTATCTTCGAATTTTCAACTGTTTTAAAGGGTGGACATTTTAAGTCATGATTAAAGAGACCAAGTTTTTATATCAATATTACTATGCACTATGAACTACAAATAAGAGAGACCTAAGAAACATCCCTGGGAATTAACACCATGTGGGTAAGATAGTTATTTAATGATTTTCATAAATGATAAAAATTCATAGTGATATTCACATGTATCTTCACATTTTTTAAAAAATCCAAAGCAAACAAAAATACAGACACACAAAAACTTTAAGCTATATTCTGTATTTTATAGAGGAAGCAGAAAAACTAAAAACCTACAAAGGAAAGTAGAATAAGATTTTAATTAAGAAAATTTTAATGCCAGCCTAAAGCAGTGCTAAAATTCTGAATAAAACATGGCTACTGTAACTGGACCAGGTTTATTTCTTTAAGAAGTTGTTTCTAATTCTGAAGCTGCATATGTGCAGGCACACGTGATGGAGAATGGAAGGGTTGCCATGGTAAGTACACATCTTTTCTTGGGCAGTGAAGTATATAAAAAAAAAATGTATAAAGAACTCTCACTTCATAATATGTCATGGAAATTGACTCTGCTTTCCCTACCACCACATATTATATGATGCAATGCAGTATAGTACAGAAATAGCCCACATTTTCAAAACTTCATCCCATTAAGATGGCTTATAAAACACGGAGTGAAAAATGAAATAAGAAATCTCCAGGTCGGGTAAATCTATTTAAATGGTGGGTCTAGAACAAGCTCTACTTCCATTAAATTAATAAATAATCACACCTCGCGGATATTCCACAGGCCTTAAGATACCTCCCGGGGAGTCCAAATGCAAATATTGCTAACCACCCATTTCAATATACTTTAGCCCTAGGACTCTTATTTTTAAGGGAAAATAAAAGCATTCCAACATCCTTACTTTCTCATTCTTGCCCCGGTGCGATTAATGATTTTCAGGAAACAGGGATTTGACCCTCCTCTACTGTCTTGTGCAAAAAGATCTTGGGGTGGTTCTCTTGGAGTCGGTGAAGTCAGCTCAACGACGCCTGGATGGAGGCGTGACACGGACTGGGGAGGTGGCAGAATCTGTTGCGAATAGCAGCAGGTTCTGAGGCGCTGGAGAACCCACGTGTGCAGGGGCTGAAGAACTTTTCTGCCACGTCTCCCGGAAGGAATGCCTCACTTTTAAATAGGGAATTAGCTGGGGCGAGGGGTGGGGCGGGAAGTGGGCGGTAAAAACTGAGAAGTGGGCGGCGGAGGAGAAGGTTCAAGCCGTTCACAGGTATCTATCTACCTGTGCTTTTCTACCTTCTCTTCTCGCCCCTGGTCAACTTTATTTTTCCCTCTAATTGGAGGACTTAAGCAACCGGATGCTGAGCATCTCATAGGCTCAGCTTGGAACAAAGAAAATCGAGTTCCTAATACTGTATCTCTCCCGTCGGAGAGATCACGTGTCCTGCTTTCGCTGGAATGCACTCTTCTCGCCCACGCTATAAAAATCTCTATTGTGCTTAGAAATTTTGCCAAGGTTAAAATATGATCACATACGAATTGTTTTTCATCTATCAAGACAGCCACATTTCATCTTATACAGGTACACATATTTACGTGCTGACCCAGTTACCACTGCAGGTGAATTCAATGTGTTGAAAGTGTGGTGGGAAAGTAATCAAAAAGAGCAGGTGGAGGACCTTTCGGTCTCACTGACCCTCCCCCACCCCCCGCATCATTTCAAATCCCTTTTGAAGGAGAACTTCGAAAGGAACGTGGGAGTCGCAGATGGTTTCATTCTGAAGCCGATTCCCGGGAGTTGTGAAAGTGACCCCTTCCCTTTTCCGCCTGGCGCAGCGCCCTCTCGCCCAGCCCGCTCGCTTTGTGACTTGGTGGGGAGGAGACAGTGAGGGAGAGGGCGGAGGCGGGTCCTTTATTCAGCCCTGATGGCCAAGAAGTAGTATAATGAAGCAGTTTTGCAGCCATCGCCGTTATGAAGTCACACTATTTTTAAAGGCATTTTGTTCAACCCCTATCCCCTCACCCGCATTCTTGACTCTGCAAACAGTAAGACTAGAGACCTTCGGGAACCAATCTAATTGTCCGTGAGCCAGGATGCCATGATTACCGTAATGTTAATGTGCTTCCCTCCCTCTTTCAACGTTGGATCCGAAACTAGTCCTGCATCCTTAATGACTCTAAGAGGAGGATGCAAGATGCTGAAGGGGGCCCAGCTCTGAGACTGGGAATAGTGCGGGTTCACCAGCTTCGCCTTGCAACACAAAGGAGATGTGTGGGCAGGAGTTGTCTAGCTTAGGGGGAGAGAGGTATCGTTCTCCCTGACTCTCTGGAAAAGCTTTCACTCCATTGCTCCCCCACTTCTTTCTGTCCTCCAATCTGTCATACTCCTCTTCCCCTCCATCCCCTCAAACCCCACCCTTTCCCTTCAATCCTAAAGGTATAAAGGTTTTCTAATTGCATTCTCCAAACAAACGGATATCAAACAGTAATACTACACCTTCCAAGATAAAGGCACAAATGCGACCTGCCACAAGTGTGTGTGTGTGTGTGTGTGTATGTGTGAGAGAGAGAGAGAGACATGATCAAATGGGCGCTTCATCCTCCAGACACCTCTGAGAAAAAGCTTACTGAAGATACCCAAGATAATAAAGAGGAGCTAAGACTACCTCAGCTAGACCAACGGTCCCAGCACCAGCGCCCAACACTTCGCTCTTTACCTTTCCTTTTCGCAGTATGTAACCCTTTAGGGTCTCCCGCCAGCCCAGACCACTCGGTGCTCTCATGCACCCACACAGCTAGCTAGCACCCATTTCCAGATGCCCCGCAACCTACCACATCCCCGCCGCCTCCGCGGGCCACCTCGCGAGCAGCTCCCCTGAGAGCGCTGAAGGCTCGTGTCCTCCCACCCCCGCCCCCCCGCGGGCGCTTGTGTCCCACACCTCGGGCGCTCACTGTCACCGAGGCCACAAACGGCGAGGGCCCCGCAGTCTCCCCCCCACACACACACACACTGGCCACGAAACAAGAGTGTGCTACTCACATCGCCGGGAGAAACTGCCCATGAGGTTTCGGAGAGAGTGAATCGTGCAGCTGCCAACGCTTATTCCTTAAAGTGTTCGGGGGTCCGCAGTGGAGTGGGCACGAGGGTCCTCGCAGGAAGAGAGGAGGGGTGGAGTAGGAGGAAGAAGACGAGGAGAAAGGGAATTCCAGGCAGGTGCCGCGTTAGACCATGATGCCGGTGCCCTTCAGGTGGACCGCTGCAGAGGTTCCGGCGGGAAGCGGCCGAGGGGAAGCCCAAAGCGCTGCCCGCGAAGGCTGGAGCGCATTCACTCCCCTGCCTCCGCCTGCCCTGCGCGCCGCGCTAGCGACCGCAGCAGCAGCGGCGGCGGCCGCGGCGGCGCAGCTCCCTCCCCACCCCCAGAAGGCTCCACAGACAATAAATCCCGGGCGGAGAAGAGACGAGCAGAAAAGGCGAATCGTGCACCCAACTCTAACACACCCTGCCTGCTGCTGGGCGAGAATCCCCGGGGACCCGGCGCCGCCGCGGCTCTGAGGAGCCAAGCGCTCCCGGGTCTGCAGGCGACGGCGGCGGTCTGTGTAGGCGGCTGCCAGGTCCCTTCGGCGAGAACCCGCTGCCCGGGGGCTGGGTGTCCGTGGTTTCAAGCCCGGGGTTCGCCCGGAGTGGGGTCCTCCTCGGCGCAGTGGCTTGGCGCACAGGTGCCAGGCTTGGCAGGCGAGGAGGAGCTGCTCGTGGCTCTTGGCTGTGTCTCCCCGCTCTCCCCGCCCCCTCTCTTTTCTCCCACCCCCTTTTCCGACGACACCAGCTGCAGCTGCTTCAAAGTGTGAAAAATGTCAAGGAGATTTTCCAGTGATAAGAGGGGGTGCCCACTTTCACAGCCCTCGGCCCCTTTTTGAGATCCTCGCCTGCCCCTCTGACCTCTACTCGGGCTCCCCCAAATTGTGAGGAGAAAAATCCCAGTCCGGCGGAGAACTGAAACGCTCGCCTTCTCCGGGCTTGGTCACAAGCTGCTTTTAGAGAACGGGACAAAAGGCCGAGCTCTCTGGGTTCCTTTCGTCGCCCGCGGTGCTCGAGGCAGGTGCTCGAGGCACCTTGCCTGGCAGCGCTCCGCCACCAGCTCCTCCTGCTGCCGGACCGGCCCGTGGCGCTGGAGTGGCGCGGCGCGGCGTCCTGCAGCGCGGGCGACTCCGCGGCTGTAGCGGCTCCGGGCCTCTGCGCCTCCCTGAGCGCCCCTGCACCCGCACCAGCTCAGCGACGCGGCGCTCGTGGCTCCGCAGGCGGCTGCTCCTGCTATCTCAGCAAAGAGGCGGCCAGGAGCGCCTCCTCGGGGTTTCCTCCCCCGCCCGCCTTTCCTGCTGCAGGTTGTTGGCTGCCAAGGAGAAAAGTCTCTGCTTGCGGGTGGGTCACTTCGTATCAGTCAAGGCAGCGACCTTTGTGCCTGCTTTGACATTCCCTTCGCCTTCTGGGGCCGGGGTTGCTAGCCTGAGAGTGCGCAAAAAGAGAAGGGGTTTCCCAACTACCCTTCATGGTTTCACCGCCACTCCTCCTGCCGTGAACACACACTCTCGATCACACACAATCGTATGCTCCTTTACATAAAGGCACACAAAGACACTTTATTCTCACACACTTCTCTTTAAACTCTTATAAGCAGCAATATGTTAAGAAACATATTGATGAAGCTAGTACTACATTTAGACTTCTCTTTTATTCTCTACACCCGTCGGATGAATTCTTTCTTTGAAACTGGATTTATTATGCTGGAATCGTTCTTTTGTGAAATACAGGCTATAGGATTTGTTTGTTTGTTTGTTTGTTTCCTCCATACGGAAGAGAAAGAATCTCCCTTTCCTAATACAGTCAGACCGCATGGCATTCAATTGCCACTCTGGGATGGATGTAAGCTCACAGTTTGGTAAAAAGAAAATGCACTTGCTTATATTCTTAGATTTGCAATACTAAAATCTTCAAGGTCAAAAACCTTTCTGGCTCCTAGGGATTATCTAGGAAGAGACTTTGCAGATTGCAGATCTAATCTGCAGAGCACCAAGAATGAGGATTATTTCCCACATTTACCTGGGTCATGAAGGTGGGCTTTTTAAATTTAATTTTATTATGTTATGTTAATCACCATACATTACATCATTAGTTTTTGATGTAGTGTTCCATGATTCATTGTTTGCGGATAACACCCAGTGCTCCATTCAATACTTGCCCTCTTTAATACCCATCACAGGGCTAACCCATCCCCCCACCCCTCTCCCCTCTAGAATCCTCAGTTTGTTTCTCAGAGTCCATAGTCTCTCATGGTTCATCTCCCCTTCCGATTCCCCCCCTTCATTTTTCCCTTCCTACTATCTTCTTCTTCTTCTTTTTTTTTTTTTAACATATAATATAATGTATTATTTGTTACAGAGGTAAAGGTCTGTGATTCATCAGTCTTACACAGCTGACTTTTAAGGACAACTTCCCAGTATTTCATATTATTTGCATGTGGAAGGGAGAATATATTTTTAAAAAGTCAGATCACTTTTACAATGTATTATAAAACACCACAGAAAAGAACTGTTCTGAAATGGCAAGGAGATTAAAAAAAAATTGTTAAAGTGATAGATTTTTGAATTGACCTCTGTGGAGCTCTATTTTTTTTCACCCATAGTTTTGTCCTTGCAAACACATTACCACATCTCAGTGTCTCAGCTGGATACAGTGAGATGAAAATTTTAGGTACTGATTGAAAATATAAAAAACTAACCTCACACAACAATTATACAATTGTAGCAATCTCTTATAAACTTCCAGTTCTTTTAGATATAGTTTACACAGAACTTTCACTTTTCTAAAACTACCTGGTGGATAATGTTATCTACACTTATAGGAAGGACACAAAGGCTCAACACAGAAAGGTACCCAGCTGCCTTGTATTTGAACTCAGAATTTCTTATTTTAACTCCAGGATTCATTTCCTCATACCAAAACATTTGACAAAAAGTCTTCTACTTAAAATCATAATTGATTGTAAGTAACTGCAGATCCTTACAAACAGGCAACATACCTACCAATGAAGTTACCTTCCAGGTGTTAAATGGAACTGTTTTCCTAACTCACAATAACCTTGTTCCTTTCTAATGGGGAGAGATATTTTTTGCAACTCCAAATTAAAAATTGATGATGTCCTTATAACATATTTCAAACTATATGTCCTCCTTTTCCCTTTATTTTATCCTAGAACCTTGATTTCAGGCCATAAAAACCCAAATGGATAAAAGATTTAAAATATGTACAGATGTGATGTAGTGCCTATGGTTTTTAATAAACATGATTTCAGCATTAAAAAAAAGGAAAAGAAGGAAGATGAGTATTTTCTGTAGAATAGGCTTTGGATACAATGGCCCCAATTTTTTTTCTAAGATTTATGAATCTTGTACAAAATGTGGCTACCTTCACTATTTAAACAATGAGGCATACTGAAGAGATTTCAATGCTTTCATAGAAATATGGAACTATTGATATGTAAATGCAGATGCTGTCTTTAAACTCCAAGTTGCCCTGTCATCAAACCTCTGGAAATGCAGATGACTGTCTGAAAATTGGAGAAAGAGGAATGAATATCCTCAGGCTGTCATTCAAGCAGAGGTCTAACACCAAAAATAGCAACAACTTCAAATGTTAGATCAAGGAAGTTTTAACAGATTAGCTCTTCAGATTACATCTATGAATGGCTAGACATTACCCGCTATAAAATTTTGTAAATTGTTCATCACTCCCTTTGACCGGCACTACTACAATTTTTGAAATGATAATCTATTCCCAAGACTAAATTACTTGAAAATAAAAGACATGTGGTGATATTAAACAATCAGGTGCCAACTATCTTCCTAATATTTCTCTTTGGAGGCCTGAAATGTCACTCTGTCTTAAAGTATTTCCTCTCTGGCAATTCCTGATTAAAGTAAAACTACTTATGGAAAGCACAGCACTTTTAGCTTTACCAACTGTTAATATCTTGGTTAGATACTGGTCCTTGAGAAAATAGAAAAACGTTGTTAAAATTTGATGTATGGAAATACAGATTTGAAAAGCTCAGAGCTGGTAGAGTTTGGTAGGACAGGCTCTTTATGAGTGGGGTACTCCCTACGGGAGTGCTGCATTGCTGTGGTGAGCCTTTGAAAAGCTGGGGAAAAGCTCTGAATAGGAAGTAGGAATCATTAAGATTCTTTCTCAAATTAATTTGTTAGATGGCCTTTACTGTGAAACTAATTTCTCAGATTAACAACCTGTTCTAGCTAAAGAGAGTGCTTCTTTATTGTGGTTTTTAATTTATCTGGATAATATTTTTTTTATTTTTAAACCTTAATCTGCATATTTAAGATACACAAAATACAATGAACTCTGATGTACTCACCACACACCTTAAGAAGGGAAAGACTAATGTTTCCTCTCCCACTCCTCTATTTCTGCTCCCCTCATCCCACAGAGGTAACCTCATTCCTAAATTTTGCATTAATTAATTAACATATTGTTAATTTAATTAATTAATTTCATGTACTTTTACTGCCAACAGTATTTTTGCATTGCTTTGGAAATTTAACCCTTACACAAATGATATAAAGCAATATGTATTCTTTTGCAACTTGCTTTTGATTTTTAAAAATACATTATGTATCTAAGAATAATTGATCTTCGTGTGTGTCATTCTAGTTCACTAATTTTTACTGCTGCATGATAATTGATTGTATGAATTTATCATATTCACATCCTGATGACAAGTTTTGCTTTTATAATAATGCTGTTGTGAACATGTTTGTTTATATCTCTTTATGTATAAGAGTTTTTCTAGTTGATATATCACCTGGGAGTAGATTTCTTGGGTTGTAGGATATATTCAATATTAAATTCTTTTCAGTTTACATTTCTATTATAATTTATGAGAGTTTCCCTTGAACCACATCCTGGCAGTTCTTGGCATTATCAGACATTTTTATGTTGTCCAGTCTTAGGAATATGTAATGGTATTTCATTATGGTTTAAATCCATAATTTCCTGGTTACTTATGAGATTATCTTTTCATAGGTTCATTAAATATCCATATTTCCAATATGAATTTCTTGGTTTATATATTTCACTCATTTTTCAATTTGGGTTTTCTTGGTGTGTGTGTCTTGTATTCTAATCCTTTGTCAGTTATTTTTCTCTTTAGTTTTCACTGTTAATATGGTGTTATTTTTTTTTTTTTAAAGATTTTATTTATTTATTTGACAGAGAGACACAGCGAGAGAGGGAACACAAGCAGAGGGAGTGGGAGAGGGAGAAG